ACCCACTTATTTAACTTACACATTGAAATAAAGAAAAATACTGCATCTAAATGTCCAACTAATCCTTCTGCTTTCCCTTAACTGTGCTTCTGGATATTAAAAAAAAAATCCTTAAGAACCATTTTGTTAGCTGAGATAAAAGTCTTTCAAATCCACCATCACACATTTTAAGCTTCTAAAAGCAATACACCAAGGTCAGTCCCCAGTCTTACCAGAAGGAGAAGCTACAGCTCCAGTTTTAGCAACAGCTGGAGCAGTGGGGGCCTGAGCCCAAGGATTGGTTTCACGAAGTGGTATTGCTGTAGGTGCTACAGTAGTTTGAGCGGGTTTATCAGCAAACACATGGAAGGCAGGGGCAATGCCATTAACTAAAATGGGAGCAGACAACATCAATGCTGTTAATTCATGCAGGGCATGCAGGTGACTGGAATGTAGAAAACAACACGTTTTGGCCAGCATGCAACACACTTCAAGCACTTAGTCATGCTAGTCCACTATTATTCTACAAGCATTTTTTTTATTCAATACGTTTAATTTTGTTAATTCGCTTGGAAGATAACTGGGGCATTTGCTAGTATTTTAAAGGAATGTTTCTTTGGACTTTTATAAGTTCTGGCTTTATTTTATGCTCTCAGTGCAAGCTTAGAAGGACAAAACAGCCATGGGTTGAACATCCTGCCCTATCAATATTCTGGTTAAATAAAATTATTTCAACTGTCAGATGTTGCCTTTCATTATTCAAAAAAAAGCACTGAGATAGTTACTGTCTCAAAGATTAGGCTGCAAGTTGCATCTCATTTATAAGGTATCAAAGCAAAATACATCAAGACTGGGAACATCTCTTCAACTTTAGAGCCACTGTATTCTTTAAAATAAGCAGCAGGTAGCAAATTCACTGATTTTATGTTTATTTTATATTTATCCAGTTGTTCTTTTTTAGACCTGGGAGACTGGGAAACGGGTAATTGCATAACTTCTTAAATAGTAACATTTCATCTGTTAACAACTGAAAGATGTGGCCTTCTGTTTTAAAATATTTTCTGTTATTAGCATGTAACTGAGTGTTCTCAATACGTCCTTGACTTTCTATGAAGTTCACAAAGGAATAGCTTACAAGCATATAACTGAGTTAAAAGAGAATGATTCCAGATGCAAACAAAATAGCGGCAAGATGGTTTAAAACATTAGACTGCCAGCACACAAAAGGAAAACAGCATTTGCACATATAAAAAGCATGACATGCATCCAAGTTTAGAGGCCACACACCTTGAAAAGCTGGTGACTGTGGTGCAACCGCTGTTACTGGCTTTGTCATTGGGGCAGAGGAGAAAGGATCCTCAGATGGCGTGCTAAAGGCATTTGTAATCTGGGAGCACAACGAACTAATGCTATCGACTTCTCCTTCAGACTCAGGAACTGAAAGAAAAAACACAGTTTGCACAGATATGACCCAACATAATACAAAGGCACCTTCCTGATTTTTCAGTGTCCTCCTTTGATTTTTTTTTCATGATTAGGAAAAATTGCCCTTTTTCCTGCCCTTCGAAAAAGCTTAGGAAGAAAAGTTAAGTACTAAGAAAAATCTAGGGAATAAGAATAAAGGCTACAATCACTTTGGTTTTACGTTAGTCCCTCAAAGCACTTACATCCATATTAATATAAGAATAATGATCAAAGCTGTACAGCTTTCACATTCAAAAACTAAGTGCTTAATTCATTAATCACTGCAAACACATATAACTGAAGATATGCTGACCAAAACCAAATGAACTTTTGTACAGATATCAAATCCATACTTTGGAATATGTGATGTCATCTAGAAACTCTGATCATATTTAGAAACATCATACAAAGGAAAACTCATAGAATTTAAGATTACAACTATGAGGTTATAACCCCAGCAACATAATGGAGCCTTGTGGTGACATATCAAAAGAGAAACATGGAAGTTCTGAAGAGAATCATACCAACATTAGTTCTCTCTCAAATGCAGACAAACTCAAAACAGAATTGGGGAGAAATTTTGTCCTACCTGAGTTTTTTATAGGAAAGTCAGTCTTTCTCTGCACTGTCGAGGGCAACTCATTGATTCGTAGAGAAAGCTGGCGTTTAAATGGAGACATCTTCTGGCTAAGAGCAGGGAAACCCCGGAAAGACCCTTGTCTGGCTAACTGCTCAATAGGAGCGTGCCGTCGGGGGATGGCATGAGGATTGCTGGATTCTTTTTCAGCAGAAGTTGCAACTTCAGCAGTAGGAGAAGTTGGCGAACCTGGAGATGGAGCTGTATTCCCAGGTACAACACTCGAAGCAGCTGTTTTCACATCTGTTTCAACTGTAAGAAAAGGTTTTTAAAAATGGAGAGCACAAATACTTGAGCCTGATTTTTTTTTTAATTTAAATTTTTTAGTTTATGGAAATATATGTTCTTGATGCAAAATATAGCATCTGGTTTATTTAGTCCTTACATCTTTAACCTAATATACACACACACACACACACACACACACACACACACACTTCAATGATTTAATTTATTACCTAGTTAACATTTTAACTATCAATTAAACATTAATACTTATCTCAAGAGGAAAAAAGCATAAATAGGGTTTATTTATTGAAGAGTCATCATGTGTTACTAGATGTTTAAGTTTGCAGCCCCCAAATTAAAATGAATATATGACTGAGTATGTGCTCTCAGTCTTTCATATGTAAAAGAATTAAAATCAGATTTGGGTATCTATCATTTCTAGAAACTGATAATCAGACCTTTCTTGTTAAACCTGAGTTTGAAAAGTCTGTCACAATCAACAACGATCTCCAGGCCTAAACATTTAGAGAACTGGGTTTCAAACGGACCTTTCCCATCTGATAGGCTAATGCCCAAGGTACTGTACTGAAGCCTGTTGTGTTTTCATCCATAACTTGAGACCTGTAATATATTCCTCTTTTCAATCTGCTATTGGTACTCATTTCAAGATTAGAAAGCAGCATTATGAAAGAGGACTCGTAGCTAGCTCTTTATACAGAGATCACAAACTGTCCAGAAAGAGGCTATTCTGTAGTGAGAACAGTGAGAGCCACTCCATTTTATTGGCTTATAACTTTGTTAATAAATGTTCTGGTCTTTATGAAACAGATTGGTCATGATTACTTTTCCCAACATCATCAGGTCACAAATCTTGCAAACCATGACACTGGCAATTCTCCTTTACAACACAGGATTAGGCACACTGAATTATGCTCAAAAAGATGTAAAAAAAAGTCAAAAACATTTTTTCTAATCTAATGCATACTCAAAGGCAAACTCTAATTATGCTATTTCTTTGTGACAAATAGAAACTCCTATTTACAAAATAAATAAAATCACATTTATGTTTTATTCTTGATTTCATGAGGATGATTTAATAATTATCACTATCCTATTAATTTCATGGCTATGATTCATTTTCTCAAAACTAGCCAAAAAAGGAAGTAGTGTTAGTTCATGCAAAAACAACTAAAATCCTCATAGGACAACCCCTTTACTAGAATCAACTAAAATAACACATAACAATGGACAAGCTTTTGAGTTCTATAGAGTCCTTTATCAGACTACATGGTGTAATAAAAAGTGGTTTATGAAGACATGAGATCCAAAATTTATCCTGGGTCCTATTTTCATATGGAGATTAAAGACTGACTGAATTAGACACTATTAGATGCTGTAGATATCAGATTACATTTAGGATTCTTGAGTACTGTAAAATAATAGTAGCTGACTTCCATTTTGGCAAATGTAACACCCAGGTGTTACCTGGATATAGATATGTCTCCAGATCTGGATGAAACACATGAGTTTCCAGAAAGATAAAGAGCAGAAGTGAAGACAATATCAACCACTGTTTTAACCATCCAAAAATAATGAAATCTTCTACAGCTTTAAGGACATGAAAAATGTTTCTTGGATACAAGGGACTTATACCATGATTGCTTCATCAAGCACTACAGTTGAACATCTCAGTGACACTCTATATGGCCTATAAATATCTACAACAGCATTTGAAGGAAATATTCAGTAATACAATCTGTACTTCAAATGTATTCTGTTACCTTTGATGTCTTGTATTTGTCTCATGACTTCTTCTCTTTCTGCTTGTTCAGTTGCTGTAGTAACCCTGAAAGACCCCTCCCTTGTGAAAGTGGTTCTACTGGCATCAAAGGTGGCTGTCACCCCACACTCCTTCTCTCTCTTTTGCTTTCGCTCCAAACATGCTGCGAATGCACAGCCAACTGCATGACTCAACCTCTCTCCCTGAAAAAGATCTCACATTAATTAGAAACAAAACCAGAAACCATCCAACTAGTGCCAATGATAGCTGGCACTCCATATAAACAACCTTTCTGTGTAAAATCTGACCAAGAAGGTTCAGAGCAACAACTGCAACCAGTCTTAAATCACCTGATTTTAACCATTTGGAGAGAAAGAGATTGAATCTTTTTATTTACTTATGATATTAAAATATGTTGGCCAAATATCTCCTATTAAAATATTGTTATAAAAATATGTTGTTATACATTTTAAATAATTTGTACATCACAAGTAGATGAAGTCCATCATTTGTATCAACACATGCACAGGACTGATACTACTTGTAGGAACTTAATATATTTAGATTTAAATCCTTAAGATTTATGAACGTACTGTGCTTTATTTATTTATCATGTTTATAAACTGCCACAATCAACTAGGACTCTGGGTAGTGAACACACAATTGGTATACACAATTAAAGACATAATACAAACTTTCCACAAATAAAAAATTATACATTTTTCAGTTTGTATAATTTGTATACTAAAGTTGAATTGAAATCAAGGAAGTACTCCCCCACCCAGTACTGATTTGTACATGACATGCTACTTTTTATCAACCAAAATGGGACATACCGTGTCCTTTACAGCCATAAAGCAATGACATATCCAACGTCTTGTAGTACCATCTCGACAGATGTAAGAAAATGCTCGGTCAAAATTCCTATCTGGAGCACAGAAGGAGACCTTCTCTATTGTCTGATCAACTATAAGATCCTTTAAAAAAAGGGCAATATATTTCAAGTCATTCCAGGAATTTGGAATACCACAGCAATACGTTTTTCAACTTCCCTTGTTCTTTTTATCAAGTTAATATAGAAATTATATCTTTTATCTCCACACAAATTCATTATCCACTTGGAACAGTGGATATCCATGTGGGAGACTAAAAGGATCATCATCTTACTCACCCTTTCTTCCAGTAGAATTGAATACCTAGATCTCATTTTTGTAACTGCACATTTATTTAATCTATTTAAGTTTTTTATATGTTGTCTTTAAAAATAATTTTTTTTCCCAAGGAAGTTTAGAATGTATCTCCAAAAAAAGCTAGCATTAAGTATTTGGAATCTTGGACTAACCACAAAAGAAAATACTGCAATTGATTTCTTATATCAGAAGGGGATATTTTTAAAAAATGTATGCAGTTTAATGAGACAACTTACAGTGGCAGTACAGTATGAAGATGCTGGTATTAAAGTCATGCTAGGTGATGATTCACTACTATGAGAAATAAAAATGTACTGACCAGACCCACCCGCTTGTAAGGTATGTTGTCTGCCAGAAGCATAGAGCAAAGATGTGACAGAAAAGCTTGCAAGACTTATCAAGTTCAGGGACAGTAGTCCCTTTTTACTGGGGCATGCAGAGACAAATTCAAAGAATAGCATCCACCATATTACCATGGACTTTAAAGATCTAACAAAGATATTCAAAACCCTAACAGTTAAGGTAGTATTCTCTTCCAGTTGGTGAAAAAGGATCAGAACGGGAAAGAATACTGCAAATGAATGACTATACAGATGGAGTTGACTGGAGGGATTTGGTTTCTGTTACCACAGGTAGTACAGATTTCTGGCATAGGACACAATGCATCTCTCAAGGACCAGTAACATTTTATTTAGCTGAAGTATGGCAAGCTTGATCAGGATGGCTTTAAAATGAATCCTGTGGGAGTTGGAGATAATAAGATCTTCAGATATGTCGTAGATCTACAGATGTGTTGTAGAAGAAGCTGACAGTGTTTCTTGAAAGTAGCCTATTAAGCAACTTAATGAACAATCAGAAAGAACACTGGCTTACAATCTTCATTGTCTCTATACTAATACTCAGCATAGAATAAATAAATAAGATCAAATTTATCTTCTAGTACAGGAAGACAAATAGGTTTTCTTAGAAAAGCTGGGGACCTGGAGGGATGACTTCTATTATTGGAATACAGCAACTAAAAGATGCAGTTGGTTCAAAATGAACAGAATGACTACTAGAAAGAGAGGAGGAGGTGCACTGTGTGTTAGAAGTATCACACTTGCTAAGAAAAGCTATATGAATGAAATTGGCAACTGCGTAAACATTAATTAGTTTAAAATAAATAGAACAAATAAAAGTTACAGCGCTGTTGATGTTTACTATTGCCTCCTAGCCAAGGAGAAAATGTAGCTGATATTTTCCAAAAGCAAGCTGAAGTTCTTTCAAAGAGGCATGAAATAGTAGTAATGGGGGACACAGTTATCAGCTGAGATTGGTGATGCCAAGAAAAACAAAAAGAGCTCCTTCAGATATTCGAAAGAAAAAGAGATCAGCATATCATCTATTCACTGAAGACAGCAAAATGTGAATAAGGTAACAAAAAAAAAAGGTAGAGCTACTCAAATCCTATTCTGTCTCAGTCTTCTCCAAAAGGAAAGTATGTGTTCTACCAGACAACTGTGAAAAGAATCATTTAATCTTGGGACTGATACAAAATGGTCAGGGAATACCTATTTACCTCGAATGTTTAAATCTCCATTGCATCCAAATGTACGGAAATAATTTGTTTATGGTCTGGCCAAACCTTTCTGTATTATGTTTGAGAAATCATTTAAGAGAAGAGAAGTACTAGATGACTAGAGGGGGAAAATGTCCCTATCTTCAAAAAAAAAAAAAAAGGAAAACCTAGGAAATTACAGATTGGTCACTTTAACATCAACACCCAGGAAGATTCTAGAGCAGATTATAGGAGATCAATATGTAAGCAACCTGAAAACAATGTAAGAAATACTAAACGTCAGCCCAGATTTGCCAAGAATTAGTCTTGCCGATCTAACCTTCTGATTTCTTGACTGGATATCTTAAGAGGATACTACAGATATAAAATATATTGGTTTTAGCAGAGTGTCTCATTAACAAGCTAATGAAGTATGAGCTAGATGGTGACACAATTGTGGATATATATTTAGTATGAATATTGTATACAAAGTGTGCTCAACAACAAGCCCTCCAGAAACCAGAGCAAAGTATCAAGTGAGGTATTCCAAGATTTTAGACCCTCTGCTCTTTAGCTTTCTTACTAATAATTTGAAGAGAAGGTGAAAGGAATGCTTATCAAATTTACAAACACAAATAGAAGAGATAGTTAACATGGGTTGTGTTCAAATACTGTGCTAAGTCCTAACATAATACAAAATGTTTGCTTTTGGCTTTGAATGCTACACAAACCCAGCCCAACCACTGTAGTTTCTGTATCATGGTTTATGTTAGCAGCTTGTTAATTCAGCCAATTGTGGCTTACTCAATAAATCATAGTTCAACAAATCATAGCTTAGTGTAAAGAATGAAACCAGGCCATGAAGTAGTAAAAATATTGGTTTGTCTGTTTGAAATGTTGACTATCAGCTTGTTAATCAATCTGGAACTTTTCAGATTACTTTTGTTCTTTCTTAAATCATATTTTTTGACTGAAGCTTTGCAATAGGCATTAGTTATGCATATTATAAGATAATTTTTGGCAAGTTATCTTGTCAGATTGCCATGCAGCATTAGCAGAACAAAGTTTGTTATCTGTAATGCTCCATATACTCATTGTATAAGATACACAACATTCTTCATTATGAGGTGCAGTACAGTACAGAACCTCCTTGGTTTTGACATCAAGTGACACCCACAGGAAAATCAAGTTTCTGTCCTAAAAAGCCACACATTAAAAAGTAGCATGTCACTCTTTTAATTTAAAAATAGGGTTAAAATCATAGCTTTAAAAATGTTTGAACTAAAAGGACTTATGCTGCTTTAGTAACATTGGAATAATAATGAATATATAAGAAGGTATCAAATTATAATATCTTACTTCAGTAAACTTATGTTAATATTTCAAACTAAGGGGGAAATCTCTATTTTTATGTTATATTCATGTTCAGCATTGTTAGAATCTTAACTCCATTAGATTGTAATACTTTTATGACATCCACGAAAGAGGCAGTGAACAGAACTTCAGATCAATCACAAAATTATATAAGAAATACCAAAAACATCAACATAATGGACCATTTGGCAGGAGGGGGCACCTATTAAATCCAAATGTCTGTTAAATCCAAATTCCTGTCATTTGAATAATTAATGTAACTGATGCAAGTGATATATTTGCAATAAAATCTTGATTCCATGGATGAATGGTTATCCATTAAAGAAGGTGATGTCCAAAGGAATTTTTTTCCTATCATATCCAAAAAACTAAAATCCATTAAACCAAGCGTTTAATAGTACAATATTTCTTTAATATCATGATTTTGTTTTTCCTATTGCTTTTATGAGTGAGGCAAACAGGAGTTCAGGCATACACTTGTTCACTGAAGACATCAAAAGAGAAAATAAAATTTGTACTGACTTAAATGAAAGGATCAGAAAACTTTTTATTTAATCAAGGTTGATTCAAAACCAAGCAGCAGCTAACCTTTGTTTTCTCATCCACAACTCTGAGTCCATCTGCTGAAACCCACAGGACCGCTTTAACTGCCTTCTTTCCACTCTTGCAGGGAAGGAAAAAAGAGAAAAAAGATTATTGCTAGGCTGTTAAACAAGCTGAATGCTGACTTCCTCTTTCCAAAAAGCACAAAAGTCATAAAGAGATGATATCCAACTCCAGCAGGAGTGCCCAAAGCCAGATATTCAGATCAAACAGCAAGAGCTCCAGAGAATCAAGCTGAAGCCAGTTTTAAAAACACAATGCAAAAGGAAGGGGAAAGAACAGGATGAGTCAAGTGGGTTAAAAAATTCATATAAAGGCAAAGAATTCAACCTTAAATTCTTTACCTATTTAAAACCAAATAAACTGTCAGTTAACTCTGATGCTTAAGGAGTTACATCACAAGTAGCTTTCCCCCTTCCAACATTTAGCAGTCAACATTCTTGTTTTTCCATTATCCCAACATTCCACCCTAGTACCTCTCAGATGAATCATAATACTGCCATTAAGTTCAATGTTTTAATAATTTAGCCTATTCCTTCCCCGAGAGCTCTTATTAGGTATAAGCACTTCTACTGTCTTACTTTCATTTTAATCTAACTGATAATAGAAAATATCCTTGCAGATATACGGATATTTCTATAAATATGGAAAGTGACAGATCACCTTCACAATTGCCATGCAAAGAAAACAAACAACCCCTCCCCCAAAACCCTGCCTTTCCCACCCCAACATTTCTGAACGTACTTCCTCAAAACATCTAAACGGTCTTTCCAGAAATACCAATGGTCTTTCCAGCTTTAGCACATTTTTATCCTGCCTTTCCTTAAAGTGCACAAGGAAGGACATGTAATTTCCCCATCTCATACTCACAGTAACTCTGTAGAAGAGATGTGAGTTACTGACTGAAGATTACTGTGAGTAATGCAAGCATTTTGATGTATTGTTTTTGCTGTCTTCTATTGTTTTAATTGTTGTAAGCTGCCCACAATCATATATGTGACATGGGCAGCTACACAAATTGAAATAATAAATACATAAATCCATCCATCCAGACTGATCTTTTAGAAATCAGTACACATACTTTCCATCTATTTCCTCAAATTATAGTAAGGAACGTATCATAAATAATAGTGGGAAGCACAGCTCCAAAAGCAAAGCAGGTTGATGATATGCATTCATCTTTCCTTGTAGAGAAATATATTTCTCACAGATAATATATTTAGTGATTGTGGCAGTTTTCACCCTCTATCCTGTATTGTATAGCCTAATTTGCTTACATAATGCTATATTAAGTACTGCTAAGGTTATTTCTGCTGTGTTTTTATATGGTATGCTTTGCTAAGTTCTCAGCTTATATAACTTGACATACCTGTGACTAAAATATTGTTAATTTGATATTTCAGAATGTCTGTAGTAAAGAGGAATATTCAGTAGTTATTTAGATTACTTTTTCACCTACTGTACATCTTTAGAACTCACTAGGAAGCTATATACAGCTTTAAAAATGCAGCTTAAGATTAAACATGTACTGTAAAAGATTTTTATCTGCAGTATAACATAAAGATTTATCGAAAAGACTTTGTTTTACCATTTATATTCTGCCTTTCTGACCATAACTGTACTATGACTTTTAACATCTAACTCTGTAGTAATTGTCTACCGAAGCCTTCATCATGAATCATACCAAAGCTTATGGTTCAAATATTGGATGGCTTTTGTTGTAGTTATGAAAACACTAAACAAGGAATCATGCTACCTTCCCTTCAAACTTCACCTCCACCATGAATTAATTAAAGTAGCATTAGGCAAGCAATTGTCTCACAACTCCTATCTGCAAAATGAGGATAAAACTGGACTTTTGTATAGGGAGGGTTATTAAGGATTACAAAATAATTATGTGAAGTGAATTGAATTGAATATCTGAAAGTGTTGTATTATTGCTAAGGGAAAATATTCTGTTCCAAGAAGGGATTACAACTTTATAGTTAGAATATAGTAGTCACAATAGACGATGAGAAAAGATATTTAACCACAGATAAGGTACAATGAAATGAAGGCACCCCTTTTAGCCATAGAAGGGCATCACTCAGCTTTATTTCAGAGAGAATATCTACTTGAATTTATGTATGCAAAAGCAAAGCTGAACTATCAGACAAGTTACTTGGCTTCCTTATTCTTTTCAAAAGCAAAGAGCTGAGACAGTTTGCTCTTCTGTTAAAACAACTCACATAAGAGCAAAATTCTTTTAAATATTTGACTGAATTCTTTTTCCTTGTAATTTCAACATGCTGGTTTCAGCCCTATTTTCTGAATCTATCTGCTTACTGAATTGAGAATCAGAGAGTTCATCTTTAAAGTCTTTCTATAGTTTGGTGTGTTTCAGTCACTGAATCAAGCAATTTTGTGACTTTATATCTCATTATGACATTTGAGACATTACATTCCTACACCCTAAATGGGATATAATGTGGAGCTATTATCACCATTCTTAGTTACAGGTAGTCCTCGCCTAACAACCACAATTGGGACTGGAATTTAGGTCACTAAGTGATGCAGTCATTAAGGGAATCATCACACGACCGGACCTGATTTTACAACCTTTTTGTGGTGGTTGTTACGTGAATCACGTGATTCCCCACTGATTTTACTTGCCAGAAGCTGGCTGGGAAGGTCGCACATGGCAATCACGTGACCTTGGGACGCTACAACCATCATAAGTGTGAGCTGGTTGTTAAGCACCCGGATCATGATCACATGACCACAGGGGCACTGTGACGATCATAACTGAGCACCAGTTGTAAGTCACTTTTTTAGCTGTCATAACTTCAAACGCTTGCCAAACAGAAAGTCATTAAGCGAGGACTACCTGTACTGCTAATTTTGCTGCACTGTCTGCTTTTACTGTTTGTTTTTTGCTCACTTTGTTTCAAGACTTATTTTTTTCCAAATGAACACTTGCATGTAAATCACCTTGATGGTCACCTTATAAAAAGACAGGATAGAAATTTTAAATGTATACACTCTGAAGAGCTGGAAACATCAGCACTCTTGAACAGTAAGTGGCTCATTCATTAATTCTGTGATGAATTTTTATTGAACGTACTAAATTATGTAGCCCCTAAACCACAGCTTGACCAGAATCTATGATAATGTGAGACTCTTGAGGGAGGGATGAAGGGAGGACCATTTTACAAGCTCTCAGAGACAGGTTATGTTGTTGTCAGTTTTGTAGGACCTTCTGACATATCACAGTGCTATACTAGGGATGTAACTCCTTATAGCACAAACACAATGAAGCATTAAACTTACTTTTCCAAAGAAGCCTTTGAAGAACTTCCTTTCCTGGAGGAACAGGGGGGACAAGTCGAATGCTATTACTGTAGGTAGCTAAAGTGTCCCAAGGTTTCAAATCAACATATACATATAAAAATGGGGATTGAAGGAAAATAGGGAATGCTTAGAGTTATCCATAGAGGATGTGACAGGCAGATATGAAAAGTCCCATGAAAATGCAAATAAAAGGCTTTAAGTGGACTTTTATTAGGACAGGCTATAGCTCTGAAATCAGTGGAAAGAGAAAAAAAGAATAATCAGACCCAATTTCATGCAAAATGTTTGCTTCATTTTGTTTGTTCCCTTAGCTTTTAGTAGGGTTATAAGCCAAACTTGGCAGCAGACATGGACTCATTCCAAACTGGGTGATGATGACTTGGAACTCACACATTAATTTATGACATTTTGAAAACTGGAAATATAATTAACAGAGCTCAGATAGCATGAATACTAGCAGGGGAATTGCTTTTAAAAAGTGTTCAAGCCTATATATTCAACCAGTTATTCTCAACTCGTATTTCTAAAGCTGATCTGGCAAAAATGTAGGTTATCTTTATGCCAAGGCTTGTTCAGTAGAATCTAAATATTTTTCAATAAAAGGCTTCATACTAAATTCTTGTTAACATCACACGGGTTATTCTTTCCGTATATTCCTTTTTACAGTCCCTGTAAAAAGCTTTCATAAACTGTCAAGGAAAATGAGTATACCACTTAAAACTGGAACAGGCAACCTTGGCACCTTTAAGCTGTGTGGACTTCAACTTCCAGAATTCTCCAGTCAGAATTGCTGGATGTGGAATTCTGGGTGTTGAAGTCCACACAGCTTAAAGTTGCAAAGGTTGAAAAACACTGTTCCAGATGTTCTGGATGACAACCTTCATAACTTTTTGCCAGTACTGGCTAGGAAGCTGGAATCCAACATCTCTAGACAGCATTAATTAAATTAATTAATTAATTAATTTAAAGGAGCATTCATCTCCTTTCTTCTACTATAAAATATTTATTATCCAAATTCCAGTTTGCAGAGGTAACATATGATGTATATTTAACATGCCCAGTTAAAAAAATGGGGTGTTACAATTTGATATGCAATTAAATGTGGCAGAGTTAGTATACATTTTACATGAAGCTTATTTTAGAGCTATTTACCTGTTTCAAACACAAATAAAAGCCTCAATGTATTTTTCTCAAAACTACTGAATACTAAGGTATGGAAGAAACAAGACTTTAATTTGCTCATGTAATAATCATTGGTTTGGCATACAAAGTATTTTTATTCACACCATCATAGCCTTCCAAAATCATAGGTTCATGATGGTTTGGAGAAAACCATTCCATCACTATGGTATGCTATTGCAAGTGAATATTTCCCCACTTAGAGGCAGTACTTACAGAAATCTCCAAGCTGTCACTTTTTCCTATATATTTTTCCCATATCTGTCACATGCCTATGGATTTCTCTGGTGTTTATAGTTTTGGCCCTTGTACAATCAACAATGGATTTCTTTCAATCATCATAATGACTTTCTTACTGACACATACAGCATATATAATGAAAAATATATAACAGATACTATACTTCAGGTGATCATACTTGTCCTCCAAATAACTTATTACAGTACAATCTTACAGAATTCCCAAATAATTGCTGAAGAACATAAGGCTACCTATTTTAAAAAAAAAAATGACTGTCACACTGCCAAGTTAAGCATTAAATATCAATATAATCATCTTTCAGAGGATACGCCAGAAGCTATCTTGTTTGGGAGACTATAATTAGTTTCATTTTTAGAAAATGTTAACATGGAAAAATTGAGATGATCTAGAGAAAGTATTATTGGCAGAGAGCATGCAAAATGGATTTAGAATAGCTATGGAAGTTAATATTCAGAAACACCACTAATATTTTAAATATAATAAAACTATGTTTCTTGTACCTGCTAAAACAAGAACATATATTAACGAATGTATCATACTTGCAAACAAAAGTCTGACATGCTAGAACATCAACACCGAAGACAACTTTAACTAAATTAGAGAGTATGAAGGCAATATAAAGACTTGTTGGGAATTCTGGGAGCTGTAGTCTCAACAGATCTGGAGAGGCCAAGTTAGAAAAGGATTCCCCACTCACTCAATAGTTCTATAGCTCTACTATCACAGCCCTATCCTGCTGTCAGAATTTCAGAATCAACAATTCCACAGTCTCTTTCCTATACATTACGTTCTTTATTAACAATGGAGATTATTTGTAAGAACATGCCATCATGTTCTTCCAAAATTGATCCACTGTTCTAACAAAACTTCTGACATGTTTTTCACTCCAACAGAATCCAATATAGACCACAGTTAGCACAATACCGAGTGTTAAGGTTGATTTAATTGTATTTCCAAGCAAGCATTCCATTTAATTAGAACTTTGTAATGTTGTATCAATGCATGCAATTCAAAATACATTTGGAAATAAAATCAATGAAATGCCCCATAAGGGAATAGGTAATGACAAAAAGGTTCCCATCCACTTTTGCTTCACTGAGCTTGGATATGCTTTGTTCCCTATGTAAAAGGAAAAAGCAGAGTACTCCTAGGAAAAGAAAATGAAAAACAAGGGAGAAAGAATACTTTTATATCTTTCTGAGTGGTGGGAATGGTTCACACAGTATTTTTTGGTATATCCAAATCCAGTGAACACGCTTACTGAAGCGAGAAACGGGTAGTAAAATGACTAGAAGAGTACAGAAAAAAGGGTGTAGCCATTCACAAGTCAGTCTGTTGTGTCAACATAATACTGTTACATTTGAAAAGAAAATCTAGACTCAGCCACCTCTAAATGACTTAAGGACTGTTTTGAGAAAAACAGTTCTATAGCAACCTTCCCCAACATGGAACATTTCAGAGCTTTAGAATGCCTGAGGAATTACATCTTGTTAAAATGGGAGTTTATAAAACTGCATTTCAGATATTAACAAAGAATCTATATGACAAAAGCAATTTACTACTGGATGCTCAAGTGACATTAGAAGTCTCCTTCAATAATCAGTAAATATGGTTTGAAAAAAGAGAACTTCAGCAAGGAAAAAAAATCTTTAAAATTAACATTACAGATCAATATTTTAAAAAGCTGAATTGGCTCAACTTTGTACAAGTGCTTAGAAAATATTTGGGAGTTCTTTTCAAATTTCTTTCTACTCTGAGATATTACAAACATTAGATAAATGGTAAGGGTAAAATGAGTAAGGGTATTAATGGCATCTTGTAAGTTAGTCAAGACAAAAACCAGTGAGCAATTGAGATGACATTACATCCTATTACTGGGATTTATTCAGAAAATATCTGAATTAGAAGCCAAATAACACGTGTGATTTTAAAATTATTTTATTTTAAATTGTCCTGCATGTAGTTTCCATAAACAATTTTTCTGTGCTGTTTAGTTTTAGAGCCTCGGCTGCTGTTCCTGAAGAATGTAATAGTAAATGGCAAGTCTCAAAAGTCAACAGCACCAGTTGGAAAATCATTATGGCATGTGCTGTTTTTATTAGTGAGGAATCTGGACTTCAATCTTCATCCCATTCTTTCCCCCCAATTTTCTTCATTCACAAGTGAAAACAGATGTTGAGAATGAAAACTGCTCTATGAACCAAATGTCAGCTGTTTAACTGAAAATCTCTGAACAAATATGAATATGAATAAATATATCATAATCATTTTAGTCTATATTGCTTAAAATAAGGATTATTATTCCAAATAGCTAGTATGCTTCATAAAAAAGATAACAAACTCAAGGATAATAGATACTTCATATTTCAAGGCCTTTTCAAATATAACACTGATAATTGAAGTTTCTCAGAATTATTTAAGGAATGATATAGCTACCACAAACAGAAGCCATTGTTTCAACAATTTTTCTAAGCTGCCATTCCTCAGTAATAATATGCAATACTTTAAGTTAAATAATGCACTGCTTTTGGAAAAAAAGACATATAATCTGAAGCTGGAAACATATAATTTAAATTAATATACATACAGCTTTTAGTCTTTTCACAGCATCTTCACATATATGCATTCCTCTGGATTCATCCACTTCCACATGTCCCAGATACTGAGAAGAAAAGAGAAGAAAAAAGGTCATATTAAAAGAATCTGTTTAGATCAATTCTTCTGAATCCTGACATGTATCTAGTTAGACCAATTCAACAATTCAAAATTTTCAAGTATTCTTACATAATGACTGCAAAACATCAAGCAACAGTGAGGCCTATAACCAAAATCAGACAGTTCAGAACTTGATGTGATCCAACAAAATATGTCAAAAAGAGGATCACAGAAAAGAATCCATTAAAGTTGGGGGAGTTCTTTACTGGTACAAGTAATCTAAAAGAGTAACATCAACATGCTTCTCTATTAAAGAAACCACTGTTAGCAAAATTTAAGAGAGACTAAACACAAAGTTATGCCCTTAGGAAGTGCACTAGCACTCAAGAAAAGGATCTTGGAATGACAGTTGATTGCAAACTGAACATGAGTTAGCAATGTGATGTATCTGCAAAAAAAGGCAAATGAACTATTTGTTTATAAAAACTAACTTTTTATTTATCAGCAGATGAATAGTTCTCAAATCACAGAAATATAGCAGTATTTAAAAGTTTGTGAACATTTTTGAATTTTCAATATTTCTGCATGAATATGACCTAAAACATGATCTGTTTTCCATGCAAGTCCTAAAACTAGATATAGAGAAAATGAGTCAAAAACATTATACTTGTTTATTTATTTATTGAGGAAAATGATCCAAAGCTACATATTTGTGTGTGGCAAAACTATGTGAACAATTTTCAATATTTCTGCATGAATATGACCTAAAACATGATCTGTTTTCCATGCAAGTCCTAAAACTAGATATAGAGAAAATGAGTCAAAAACATTATACTTGTTTATTTATTTATTGAGGAAAATGATCCAAAGCTACATATTTGTGTGTGGCAAAACTATGTGAACTTTTGCTTTCAGTAACTAGTGTGCCCCCCCAACCTTGAGCAGCAATAATTGCAACTAAACGTTTCTAATAACTGTTGATCAGTCCTGCATGTCAGCTTGGAGGAATTTTAGCCCATTCCTCCTTACAGAACAGCTTCAATTCAGAGATGTTGGTGGGCTTCCTCACATGAAGTGCCTGCTTCAGGTCATTCCACAACATTTCTATAGGATTAAGGTCAGGACTTTGACTTGGCCATTCCAAAACATTAA